AGTGACACTGTAGAAACACAAGAAACCAAAGATTCAGTAATGCAATGAAAAGACAAGCCTAATTCATGAAAATCTTATATTCAGACAAAAGTTTTTGCTAGCAGCAAAAAGCCCCAACCTCCTTCTAAATTCTGCAATCTAAGACAAGTCAAGAAGGCCAGAGTGGTCTTCACAAACTTGGTCAAAAGAGGGGCCACACAGTATCAGCTGGATACTGTGAACCCAGAACCCAAATTTCTTCTCACACCTGACCTGCCCCAGTCTATATTATATACCTGCTGCCTTCAATAGCTTTACTGGGGCCTCAGTCAACAAACTTACCACAGAGAAAGGAGTATATATTACAGCCTCTTTGCCAATCGTCCTGAAGGACAAGAAAAGCTGAGGCAGTTAGTAGCAATTGCTTAGGTTCCAAGGCCCCAAACAAATCTATGGGAATGCATGCTCTCCTTTTAAAAGCTCATCAGCTCCCAAGAAGACAATTTCAAATGCCAGAGTGGAGGAAACCATTTCCATGCATCTTGATCACTTGCCAAGTTGACTAATGCAACAGGCCATGCCTTCCCTCCTGACAATACCTTTCACCTGTAGTAAAATAGCACAAAAGAAACATGGCCTCCAGGATGGGAGACATAGGGCCATCATCCCACAGAGTCCTTGGGGAACACAATACTGCTGCTCAGACCCAGACCACTATGGAGACCCACAGGAGGAGCTACAGGTCCAGCAGACCAAAGTGAAAGACCAAAGTGACAGCAGACTACCAGCCAGCTTTCTGGGAACCCAGGCATCTAAGGCCAGCCCTCACAGTGAGGGAAGCATCCCCTGGAGCCACAGCCATGGTCTTCAGGTCAAGGCTTCAGCTATTCCCTGTATACAACCACACCCATACATAGTTATATAGAACTCAACAACTCAATAGAAATCACCTGTGATTATTTGACCTGCTTACCTGGATCTGAATTCTTCTGTGATAAGTTTAATTAATCCAGGTGGACCCTTCTTCAGAATAATAAACCCCAATGTCTCAGAACTACGGAGTGTTCAATATGTCCAAGGTGTATTCATGGAAATTATTCCACCACAAGAACTAGAGAGACCTTTCCTACCTTCATAGATTCAGCTTGCTAAGTAGAACATACATGAGGCTTAGTTTGGAAATACAAAGACACTTTCTTTTTAGTAAAAAAGTAGCCAAAAGGGCAGGAAAAGGAGATGAAAAACGTCATAGCCAGCCCAGCAGAATCCCCTGGTCTTACCGTTACATGTGATGCTTTCAAATGGGTTCTTAGTACCTTAATTTTGAGGGAAAGAGTAGAAGAAACCAACCAATGCTTTTGCATGGTGAGTTTCTGCCTATGACACTGAACTCAAGAGAACTGAGACCTTTAGAGAAACCAAAGATGGTTCAAATGACTCGTGAGAATAAATTAACTCTGTGCTCCTTTCTGACATGATGAAGTTTCCTAATTGTAAAGCAGAACCAGCAGCCACCAACACAGAAGACCTACCCCACAGATGGAGAAGAGATGGAACACTGAAACTGAGCCTGAGTGACCTCCCCAGCCCTGCAGCGCGAGGCCAGTGGGGCTCCTTCAGGATCAGCAAAGCAAGTCCTCATCACCAAACCAGCTTCAGAGCAGCTGGCTTATTAACATCTGGAGATCCAAGCACTCTCTTCCAGGTTTGAAGACCAAAGGAAAAGGGATGTGATGAGGGGGGCGGTCCCCAAGGCAAGGGGAGTCTACATTGTTGCCCCAAGAGAGTCCACTTCCCTCCTAAAATGCCTGGGATTTTCCACTTTGGTAGGGGAAGGTAACAAGGCAAAACAATGAGGGCCTCCTCATTGGCCACCATGTGCAGTTAGGCAGCAGGCCACTGTGCCTTTTTCTTGGGTTCAGCAGAACTAGACACAACCCCAGCATGCCTTTGCCCTTAGAAAAGCTAAGGCCAGACTAGAAAGTCACCAGGAGCTACAACTGGGCATCAGAGTTAAGACAGCAAAGGATAGGACTGAGACTGGGCCAGGCTGGGAACTGTCCAGAGCTCTGGTCTCTAGGCTTGGCTGTCCTCCAAGATCAGCCAGCCCTTTCCAAGGAGACATACCACATGTCCCTAATATTCTCTCTCCACATAATATGACTACTTTTCCTAAAACACACATTTCCCAGAGTCCTACAGGCCTGGAGTCTGCTCAGCCGGACTCAATCCCGGAGGAGCTGTTAAATAACTCACTGTTTCAGTTTGCAAACCTTTTACGACTTAGTGACAAGTGAAACTACATTCTGACAGCAACTGCAAGTTCCTAGTACTCAGTGACTTCTCTTTTTTTTCTTGGGACACTCCCTCCCGCTAAAATTACAGACCCACCCACCCCCAATACCTGGAATAAAGAAGAGAGCACAATACCACATTTTAACCTATGAGATGTGGAGAACAGCTCTTCTCCTGAGAGCCTAAGACCAAATGGAAGTTACTTTGTCTCCCTCACCTTGAATGCATTGATGAACTCTCTGAACTGAACCCCAACAGCATGTAGGAAAGCAGTCATGGGCAGTAATTCTGAGGGGACACAGACAGGACTAGCTTGCCTGGATAAGGTGGAAAAGGATGCAGAGCTACTTGGTTTCTCTTCTACTTGCCTATATGTTCCCATTTGTCCTATCTCTCTTGGTCTCAGCTGGCAGCTACTTTAAATCAGCAGTGGAGCAATGCAGCCACTGAGGTTATTAGTTAATAAATGCTGACAGCATGGCCTTTCCTGGTCATTTGTACATGTTAAAATAAGATGCATGAGCTCTCCAAGTGGAAGATCCATTGAGATCCAAAGAAAGGAAGCTATCATGGTGGAGTTACAGATGTTGTGTTAATGCTGTGGAGCAAAAAAGAGCCCATCTCTCCCACAAGCAAATGCCAGCCCATGGCATTGACACTAATATAGACCCTAGAGGCTAACAATATGCACAGTGGCAGGCAGCATCCTCCAACCTCTCCACACACATGCGTTCTCACCTCCACACAACTTGCTCTTTCCTGGCTGCCAGAAGCCCAAGGTCTGATCTCCTCACCCTTGCAGGGTCTTCCCACTTTCCAGACTTTGAATAATGATGAGGGCCATGGACAGGGAAGGCTGAGGGCTTCTGTCATAAAAACACTTGGCAGCAAGCCTTGGAAATGGTGTAGGAGAAAAACACAGCTGGGCTCAATATTTAAATTGAGAGATCAGGTTTGGGGATCCTAATGTTCTCAAAAAAGAGGGGAAACCACTTCTTTTTCCTGCATTTTTCACTTTTGCCATAAGGCGTTTTCAACAAAATACAGAATGTCATTTCTTTGGAGGAAAAATGACTGGGAGACCAGCTGATCACTGGCACAGTAGCCTGGCTCATTCATAGCCTTCCTCACAGGCAGGACAGCGTGGGCTGACAGAACTGGGCTGAAGGAGCTCTCCAACGCAGAGACCCTGAGCCGCAGAATGTTACAAAGAGCACATGTTTTCGGCTTCCTTCCTATGTGCCAGGGATTTTTCACATGTCATCTCCTTCAGTCTTCACAACAGCTGTATGGGAAGAACTGCTATTATCCCAGCTTTATCAGATGGACAAACAAGGGGACAGATCCTTCGGGTAACTTAGCCAAGGTCATACCACAAGTGGCAGAGTTGGGCTTTAAACCCATGCTGTACGACTCAAAAGTCTGTACTCTATGATATAGAGAACTGCCTGGGTGGCATCCACACAATGGGAAATTAAAGTGTGTGGATATTTGCATACAAATGTGTATGCGTGTGCGTGCAGTGTAAATACAGAGGTGAGTCCCTAGGTAGCCAAGAAAACCTCACCCAGATTAGGGTAACAGAGGATTTAGGTGAAAATACTGTGGGTCAGAAGCTACCTCTAAGGAGAGGAGTTGGAAAGGAAGGAGACTTACTTTTCCCTGTATGCCCTGATATCCTGTTTGAACATTTTATCATGTATGTGTACTTCCTACTTTAAAAACTTTTAACTGAAAAAAGGGGCGCCTGGGTGGCGCAGTCGGTTAAGCGTCCGGCTTCAGCCAGGTCACGATCTCGCGGTCCGTAAGTTCGAGCCCCGCGTCAGGCTCTGGGCTGATGGCTCGGAGCCTGGAGCCTGTTTCCGATTCTGTGTCTCCCTCTCTCTCTGCCCCTCCCCCGTTCATGCTCTGTCTCTCTCTGTCCCAAAAAAAAAAAAAAATAAAAACGTTGAAAAAAAAATTAAAAAAAAAATAAATAAAAACTTTTAACTGAAAAGAAATACCGAATGTTGTTGTTGAGTCACTAGGTATTTGAAATCTACTGAGTCATATTTTCTAAAAGATAGATATATGAGAAAAAGCAATCCCATGCTACAGAGGCCTATTGCATGTATCACAGGGTGGGCAGGGGAGGTGGGTTCATTCATTGCAGAAGAGAGGACTCGGCTGGGGGTGTCTGAGTTGCTCAATACCCAAGAACAGTAAAAGCGAAAACATTCAACCAACCATCCTCTCCCATTTTCATTTTCGGACAACCCCCACCCCCTACGGCCACAGGACCTGCCTCCATTTAGAAAGTCAGTGAAAGAATGAATGACCTCACTTTCCCCAACCAGGCGGGTCCTAAAGTGTTTTTCACAAAACAAAACTTGAGTAAATCAATTTATGTTTTAAATACTGTAGCAGAGGTCCTTGTTTTAGCAATCCTGATGAGATCTTTGCAAAGAAGCTGATTGTGATAACACTGTGTTTTGTAAATATTTCTTTCTTCTTCCTTTTTTTTTTTTTTTTTTTTTTTTTTTTTTTTTTTTTTTTTGGTGCTGTACAAGGGTCCTAGTTTCAACCTGGAGCCAATCTTCAGAGCTGCCTGGGTGTCTGGGAGACTAGTAAGGCAGCCTGGTCTAGAGTTCATTTGCATGAGACCAAGGACCCTCCTGCAAGAGACGTCATTATAAGGGCTGAGAGAACCTGTACAAGCTATACAAGCTCAACCCAGTAAGGTAGCCTGGGGCGCTGGAGGCAAAGCATGATTCAGAGCCTGAGAGCCCAAGTCTGTGTTAGGAGATTTCTTCCCAGCTACCTCTGGACTCAAAACCAGTCCTACACAGGAGGGAGCGATGAACACAAGCTCTAGAAAATTTCACAAGGTCCTCCTTTGACATGTCAAAGAGGTGAGTAGTATTCTTGCCACTTCTGCTCTGAACCAAGTGGGCGTTGCTAACTTGAGGGCTCCAGCAGAGACAATACCCACCTGGTCTCCTCAGGGTTCTCTCCCTGAGGAGCAGGATCACCCTCTGACCAGCAGTGGGGACAGCACTAGCAGCATAAGACAAACCCCTCGGCAGAGAGATCAAAGTGTTCACTGGGAGGGTCCCCAAGGGGCCACTAGGGAGAGAGCAGGGCTGAGGCTGAGCTGGCTGAAGTGGGCTGGAAGAGGTGAGAAAGAAACTGGCAGATGCCACATCGTGGCACAGAGGAGTCATTTATGTGTGCACCTCACACCACGTCTGGAAACCCCTAGAGACAACTGCACGAGATTTGGCGGCAGTCAGGCAGTTCTGCAACAGCTGGTCACAGAGAAAGCCAGCAAAGAGAGGAAAGTCCTGCAGATGGCTCGCTGTTAGTAGCATCTTACTTGTAACCCCAAGCTAGTGGGCTATGGTGTGGTCTGAGGAAGCTCAGGTCAAAACATCTTAGGTTTTTATGACTATGAATTAAATGGAATACTAAATCCTAGCCTGTTAATCTGGTAATGAGAGCATTTCTTAAATCATAGTCAGCCTTAGCTTTTTGCCCCCCCTCCTGTAAAACTTTGTGCATGACTTCAACTTTACTTTCCTTCTTAAGACATGCCAAAATGCTGAGTCACTAAAAAAGAAATAAATAAATAAATAAAATTAAAAAAATAAAAACAAAAAACAGAAAAGAAAGTAAAGGAAGAGTGATCCTGCCTCTTAGGCTAGTTTGGTATGACCTAAGCGGCAATTTCCGCCCCCCCCCCCCCCCCCAGTTGTGATTCCTGTGATGCTAAAGGACGTCACATTGCACAATCTTAATAAGGTTTCCAATCAGCCCCACCCGCTCTGGCCCCACCCCCACCCTCCAACAGAGATTTATCAAATGTGGGATTTTCCCATGAGTCTCAATATTAGAGTCTCAAGCCCCAATAAATATAAGACTGGGGATGTCTGAGGCTCATTCTGCCCTCGAGCCCACCAGGAACGAAAGAGAGCTCCATCTGCCCTCCGGGACTCCAGCTATGACCTTCCTCTCCACAAGTAAGTGAAGGAAATCCCTAGCCCTGGAACTGCCTGGCAGCCGGGCCGGCCGAGGGAGGGGTGTGTGTCTGCTGGGAGGGCTGGCAGGCAGCCAACAGCCAGCAGCACAGCTCCCCCAGCTGTGTGGTCTGTTCACTGACTGTTCTCCCTTCCCTCCGGTACAGGCGCCTTCAGTCCACTCGCCTTCTCCCTGGGGCTGCTCCTGGTGGTGGCTACTGCTTTCCCTACCCCGGGACCCCTGGGAGGAGATGCCACCTCAAATAGACTACCACTCACCTCTGCAGACAAAATGGAAGAACTCATTAAGTACATCCTCGGCAAAATCTCTGCACTGAAAAAGGAGGTGGGTAGGCTCAACTGAGGGTGATAAAGGGCCTGTGTGGGCATTCACCTCCTGGGCCCTGGATGTGGACAAGGGCTCCTGCACTGGGAAGTCTTTGCTGGGTTCTGGGGCAGTTTAGATTTCAGGCCAAAGGGGCAGACGTCTTCTGTATTTCTCTTATGCTGCTGGTCTCAGGGAGTTCCTTTCCCTCCTGGAAAACACACACTGGGGTTGAAATCCATGCCCCTTGGCCCATTCCCAGCTCCATACTTGGCATGGGCTGGGTGTCACTGCCTCTCAGGACTTCCTTTTCCCTAACCAAAAAATAATGTCTACCAATTTTCTTTGTCTCTCTTGCACTTTGGAAGCATTGGCAGAGTGCCTCCTGAAATAAATGTTGAGCTTCTCACAAAAATCACAAAACTTTTAGGTTACGGAAGCTCAGTGGTTAGGGATTCCCCAGAGTCATTCTAGCATATAAGATGCATACTTGACAGCCCACCAAAGTGGCAAAATCATAAGTAGGTTAAAGTAGCTCCAAAGCTTTAAAGGTAAGGTAGTTTGGCTCTGTCTGGTAGAAAGGAAAGAGTGCAGGAGAGGGTATTGGGAGTCCTGAACCAAATCTAGTTCTGGTTCTGCTGAACCAGTTTTGTGATCTTTGGCTGTAAAATTTTGGAATTGGACTAGATGATCTCAAAGGTCCTTCTAGCTGGAAAATTGGGGCTCAAATTACATTCACCCAATTATCATCAAAATTGCTGTCATTTATTAACTACCTACTATGTGCCATGCACTTTATGTAAATAGTATGCCTCATCTTCACAAAAAACTTACAAAGGAGGAGTTTCATTATCCCCAATTTGGAGAGATAAGGACACCAAGACTCAGGATAGGCAACAAGTGTGAAGTCATAGGTGCCCAGAAATGAGCCCAAGTGTGCCCATCTTCACGAGACCTGGCTTGCCTGGATGCTGATGTGGTGTGACCATTCTCTTAGAGGACTTCCTGCCTGGGTAAAACATGAATCGGCCCTCTAGTGGTGTTTGTTTTGGGGCACTTCTTTGACAACAGTTCTGGTATTCCTCCCCAGATGTGTGACAACTATAACAAATGTGAGGACAGCAAGGAGGCACTGGCAGAAAACAACCTAAATCTTCCGAAACTGGCAGAAAAAGATGGATGCTTCCAATCTGGGTTCAATCAGGTATGAACACATCACATTCACTTTTAACTATTCCTTAGTCAAAAGTTCTCCCTCTGATATGCAGTGTCTGTATGCATATAGACCAGGCAGACAACAAAGGGGATAAATGTAAAGAATATCATGTAAATTTCACAAGGAAGCCAACTTGAATCTCTCTGAAGGCAGCTTACTTTTGAATGCAATGGTTAGAGATAGCCCTTCTGTATTGGGATTTCTGCAGCCATCAAATGTTAGAAACCCCAGTAGGTTTAGCTAATCCATCCTGGGTAAAGTTGTCCTTCTCTTTGTTGCCTGCTGTTAGCAGGATCCCAGTCTGCCCTCTGTGTAGAGGTCATTCTCTACACCCTCTTCCTTCCAGACAGTGGGATATCCTGCACTGACTTCTGATTATTCCATAAAAGGAGGTTTCAGCCCAATATTGACAAGGACAGGAGTGCAGCCAGAAGGAAGAGTATTAAGGGGAGAATCAGAGAAAGACCCCTTTGCCACATTCCAGCATCTATCAGGTTTTGGGTAAAACTGATTAAGTAGTGTCTCTGTCCAGATATTTAAAATGGGGCAGCTGATGCTGTCTGATGTCTCAAAATACAATGCTAAAGGGTGTTTGAAGTTCCTTGGAGGAGCAGAGGGAGAAGTAGCTGAATTATAGCGATTTTAACTTTTTAAATTGATTATACCTTCCTAGCAATAACTGATTTCCCCATCTTTTCTCTTAGGAGACCTGCCTGACAAGAATCACTACTGGTCTTCAGGAGTTTCAGATATACCTGAAATTCCTCCAGGACAAGTATGAGGGTGATAAGGAAAATGCCAAGTCTGTGTACACCAGTACTAACGTCCTGCTCCAGATGCTGAAGCGTAAGGTGAGAATTTCCTCATCCCCTCCCTTGGTGCGAGGAACACAGGCTCAAAGAAAGGAGCCTAGACAACTTGGGAATGCAAAGCCAATTCAAAAGAGATGGCCACATGTAGAGGAAAGGATCTAAGGAAGATTTTCTGATAGTTGAAACTTTTTGTTTTTTCTTTCGGTTCTCTTCTGCAAAAGACATTAATAACTATATTTAAAACTGTTAAATGAGATTTTAACATCAACTTCTACTATAATGGCTTAAGATATAAGAAAAAAAAATCTGTAGAGGCAGAAGGAAGCACATCCAATCTTGCTCAGTGATCTATAATAACAAAGAACAGAGGGCATAAAAATTATTTTAATATTTTAATTATTGCCAACTGATAATTGTTGTCACTGTGGTAGTTTCAACTCTTTCCCCTTACCTTTTGCTGGAAGAGTTAATGCAGAAAAATGTTTAAAGGCTAGGAGAGCAGGTACCAAAGGCCTTGGTCACTACCAGCTAGCCATTCAAATGCCACCTAATGGAGGCTTGATGGCACAGCATGTGGATGAGCCAAACAAAGCGCACTAGACAGAGAAGCAGGCACATGGGTGTTGATACTGCCACTGCCTTTTCTGGCTGTTTGCCTTAAACCGGCGCTTCTCCCACTTTAAAACACACACCAAATCCCCAGGAATCTTGTCACAGCACAGGGTCTGATCCAACAGGTCTGGGGGGAGAGCTGAGACTCGCATCTCTAACAAGTTCCAGGGGATGCCCATGCTGCCGTGCTCTAGAACCACACCTGGAGGTGTAAGCCCTCCCACAACTACTCAGCCTCATGTCAGTGGGTCTGTGGAAAGGTGCTTCCCAGTCCCCCTTACACCACAGACCAGTGGACCCTCAATAGATGGCAGATGGATGGGGCTTTGTGCCAGGCACTGTTTAGCATAAGGGAAGACAAGACACCATGGCCGCCCTCGAGATGCTCATGGTCTAGCAGACATAGATTAGCAAAGTGGGGAGTAGGATTCAGTCGCCATGAAAGGGCTGCATGCAGGATGGGCTCAGGTGGGCTCAGGGGAGAGCCACCTCCCCCTACCTGGGCGAGCCAGGGCAGGCAGCCCCACCCAGTCTCCTTCACCCCGAATTTAAACGTCTTCCCACAGCACAGAGCATCCCGCCACTGCAAAGGATTTGTTCAATACTTAAATAGTTCTTTTTGCTTTCTTTTCCCTTCAGGGAAAGAATCAGGATGAGGTAACCATCCCTGTCCCAACCGTAGAAGTTGGCCTGCAGGCTAAGCTGCAGTCACAGGAAGAGTGGCTGAGGCACACAACAATTCATCTCACCCTGCGAAGGCTGGAGGACTTCCTTCAGTTCAGCCTCAGGGCTGTTCGGATAATGTAACCTGGGCATCTAAGATTGCTGTAGTTCACGGGCATTCCTTTCTCTGGTCAGAAACCTGTCCACTGGGCATGTAACTGATGTTGTTCTCTGTGAAGAACGAAAAGTATGAGCGTTAGGACACTATTTTAATTATTTTTAATTTATTGATATTTAAATATGTGATGTTGAGTTAATTTATATAAGGAGCAGATATTTATATTTTTTATGAAGTGCCACTTGAAATATTTTATGTATTCATTTTGAAAAAGATAACATAAAATGGCTACACAGCTGGAATATCCTCAACGTTTCAGAGCCAGATCATTGTTTGGAATGTGTAGGTTTACCTCAAATACGTGGCTAACTTATACATATTTTTAAAAGGAATATTTATATTGTATTTATATAATGTTTAAATTGTTTTTATACCAATAAACTGCTTTTTAAAAAAAATCCACAACTGAGCCTCTGTGTGTCCCATGAAGATGAATAGAAACAGGTTTTTGTCACCAGCACCACCACCACCCAAAAAGAGCTACAATCACCTGGAGAAAGATATAACGGAGAACCTACTGCATGTCAGGCATGCGCTAACTGTGTTGCATCTGTGATATTTAATCCTAGCACGTGTACACTCTTTTATGGATGTGGGAGAGTAAGTGATTTCTCTAAGTCACCCAGCTGCAAGATAAGACTCAGGCTCAGATTTTAAATCCAGGTCTAATTCTCTCCAGGCCCCTAAGTCTTAACTTCCTAGGCAACAGTTTGAAAGGTGTAGAAAATCCCAAGACATGTTAATACAGGAAATACATTTAAAGATACAATCAAAAGCCTTTGAAGGGGCATAACCATTGTATAAGATCTAGCAATGTGCACTTCTAAATAATGATTAGAAGCTCTGCCTCCCTCCTCTAGGTTCCTTAAACATTGCACGTACCTGTCTATCATAGCACCTATCACATTGTATGACATCTTAAAACTGATTGAGTTTTCTTTCCAGCCAGCCTTCTTTCCTCAAGAAGGTAGACTCTATTGTATTCATCTTGGCATTCTGAGCCAATGGCCCAGAAACTGAACATAGGAGGCCTCAATAAATATTTGTTAAATGAAGAAACTATACATAAATGATCAAATATAAGATATCTCAATTTGGGGGGACAGATAGTGTTGGTCAGTGAGTGGAAAAACTACAAATACTGTCTTTATGTATCTTCATCTTCAAGAAAAATAGCAAGAGCTAGGCAGAAATATTCTAAGAACTTCTAGAGGAGGCAATGAATAATCAGTACATATATATCTATATCCATTTGCTTTCCCACCAACAATATTCTTTGCATGCTCTCTCCTCGCCCCCTTTGAGAGTGGTGATAAGAGAGGCAATCTACACATAGCCCCTCTATCCTACCTTAACGCTATGTTGGGAGTTTAGTAAAGATTTCCCCTTTTCAGCCCCAGGAAGATGAAAGGTCTGCCTTCTAATAAAGCTTTTCCCACTCTAACTACCATAGACTTCTTCCTCCAGGGGAAGACTCCTGCTGAATAAGGGGAAGTCCACAGAGCCAAGAACTGAGAGGAGCCAAGCAAGAAAAGAGACACATATTCTGATTTCTAGAAACCAGTGGGTTTCCCAAAATGGGAGCCAAATCAAAGAACAAAGAGAAATGGCAGTTGAATGCATCCATTCTTCAAACAAAAATGTGCTGAGCATCTTGTAGAAGTCAGGCAATGTTGCGGATGCTGAGGTGAGCAAGCTAGATGCAGCCCCAGCCTTCATGTGGTTTATACTATGGCATGGAAGACAGATATTGAGCAAAGAATGTAACTGTGATGAGGTTTACAAAAGAGAAATGTGAGGTCTGCTGAGAACCTATACAGGGGGCACCAATAGCAGGGGAACCTAAGCCTGGGGAGGGCAGTCATGGAGTCTTAGGGAGAGGTTTTGACTGAGACGTAAAAGATAAGCAGTAATGAGTTAGTCAGCCCAAGAATGGTGGGAAGTACACTCCTGACAAAGGGAACAGCACGTGCAAAAATCTGAATCAACAAAGAGCACACTGTGATTAAGACACTGAGAATTACATTATGTCCAGTACAGAAAGAATAAGGAGGGTGGTTAAAAGGTTGGGAGTTGGCAGGGGTGGCGTAGGCTAGGGCCAGATCACTGACAGCATCAGAAGCCCTATGTGGTGAGAATGTGCTGACAGATTTTAAGTAGTAGGACATATAAGAGTTGTAGTATGGAGAATGGATAGAAAAGGGGCTGAAAGAGGATATTGGAGGAACATCATTAGTCCATGGAAGAGATGACAATACCCTGAATTAGGATGGTGGTAATGGCTAGAAAAGAGAAGGTGATGGCAGCCATTAGCAAAAGATAGCTAGGACCTAGTTCAGTAGGATTTGGCGATTGCTGACTGAGATTCAGGAATCCCCGAGACCACCAAGTCTTTGAGAGAGGAAAGAAGTAGGGATTAAATAGAAGAGTAAAACACAAAGGATTTTATATTTGAGAGTTTTCACTTATTACTTTATTCAAATGCTCTCTGAGTATTTGCGATGTGCCAGATTCTCTGCTAGGCCCTGGGGATATAATGGTGAATAAAACAGACTAGGTCTTTGTTCTCAAGAAGCTTACGAACTAGAGAAAGCAGTTCAAAGAAATAACTGCTGTATGCTACTGTTATGAGTTGAGTTGTGTCCCCTAAAAAGATATGTTGAGGTCCTAACCCCCAGTACCTGTGAATGTGAGCTTACTTGGAAATAAGATCTTTGCAGATGTAATCAAGATAAGATGAGGTCATTAGGGTGGGCCTTACAAGAAGAGAAGAGACACAGGGGAGAAGTCCATGTAAGGAGGGAAGCAGGTTTGGAGAGGTGAATCGACAAACCAAGGATTGCCGAAATCAGCAGAAGCCAGGAAAAGACAAGGATCCTCCCCTAGAGCCTTCAGAAAGAGCATGGCCCTGCTCACACCTTGATTTCAGACATCTGGCCTCCAGAACTGTGAAAGAATAAATTCCTGTTGTTTTAAGCCACCCGGTGTGTGGTAATTTGTTATAGGAACCCTATGAAACTAACACAGCTACCAGGGGCAGCACACAGTAGGAGAGCCTCAAGTGTTCAGGAAAGGCATTCCAGAAGAAAATGAAATTTAAGCTTATATTAAAAGAATGTACAGGATTCAGCCAGTGGGAGAGGCACAGGAGGTGTTCCAAGTGGTGACCTCAGCATGGGCAAAGGTTTGGAGGCAGGAAAGAGCATGTTGGAGAAACTGAAGGAGTCCTACTAAACAGCTGAAGTACAAAGAGGGAATTAACAGAAATGAAGCTGAAGCAGCAGGTCTGTTATGAAAGAGCACAGAGGATGAATTAAATAAAATCATTAATACAACATAAAAGTAAAGAGCAACTTTCTTGGAAAGACTTTTTGATTTGGGGGTTTCTTTTGTGTATTTGCTTCTGTTTTTTAAATGTTGAAGGATTTTTCAGTTTCTTCTGGTGTCATGGGGTAAGGAGATTGGGATGTAGAAGTAGCATCGAATAGTCTAGAAAAGATCCAGTTTTCTGTAGCACATTCCAGCAACAGGGAAGACAGTACTATGGAGGTGAGAGGCAAAAAAATAATAAATAATAAAAAATAAAAATAAGAGAGAAGAGGATGAGGAGCACCTTGTGGCAGATGTGACTTAGGAATTTCAGACACTGTGATGTCTAGTATTGAATTTTCTGTTATCTTCTCCCTCACTCATAAAGGTTATATGAGTTTTATTTACCAACATAAAGCAAATCTATGGTAGCCTTGTTCTAGCCAATCTCTGAAGAAAGCAAGAATGTTCATGTCCACCTTTGGGGGAAAATGGACAATGGAAGGTTGAAAATACAAGAAGATTCAAAGAAGTGATAACAGAGAAACCCAAAGTAAGAGTTCAAAGCAAGAAGTGACAGACAACGATCAGGATATGTAAGACCCCACCAAGAAAATCAAGAATAAAAAAAGATTAATAGTAAAAATTTTAAAAGAAAAAGAAGTCAAGAATACTCAGGAAAATTTGGGACAAGTCTACATTTCCTATAGTCAGCTTGGAATGGGGATACTGGCTATTATATTTGGATGCTAAAGGAAAGGATTATCTCCAAATGCTACGTAGGGGCTAGGGGACACTTAGATTACACTATGAAAATGACCCCAAAATCTGCAACAGAGAAAGTGGACAGAGGACAGCAGTCCAGATTCCACCCCTAATAAAACTTCCAAGTTTCTGGCGGATTAAGAATAGAAAGGAAGAGATAAAACAACCCACATGCTCTAAGAATAGACTAAATTAAAAATGGTAATAGTAATATAAGTGTCATTGAGCACTTACCATGTGCCAAGCATGATTCAATGTATGTATTATTTCTGAGACACACGTATTAGCCAAAGGAGCAGGGAGTCTAAGCAACTTGTATAAAGTCACAAAGTGTGCAAATTCCATAGGTGACTTCCAGTTATCCTTTCAAATCTATTCTCCACTTCTTCATGGTAACAGAGTTTGAGTTAGACATGTGGCTCCCCATCTAGAGGCTACATTTCCCATTCGACTTTGCAGGTAGGAGTGACTATGCTGAGAAAAAGAACATAGCAGGCCAAAGACTGCTATCTTTAGAAAAGCCTGCTTATAAGCTTGGCCCTTGACTGGCATCTGGGAACTTGACTGGTAAACAGTTCCCTACATCAGTATAAAACTTTCCCCAATGGCAACAGATCCTAAATTATACAAACCATATGGTTTACACCAACCACCTGCTTTCCTTCTGAGAATATGAAATTTTAATATGTGCAAAGCAGAGGATACCCCAATAAAAACTACGGGTGCTGAGTTGCTGATGAACTTCCCTGGTAGACATGTGTTGTCACAACTCATTGCTGGAAGAATTAAGCGCATCCTATGTGACTCTCCTGGAAGAGGACTCTTGGAAGTTTGTGCCTGATTTTCTCCAGAAATCACCCCATGTGTCTTTTCCCTTTGCTGAGTTTGCATTGCCTCCTTCTGCTGTAATAAGTCATAGCCATGAGTATGAGTCCTGTGACTCATATGCCCTGAATCCTGTGAGCCCTCCTAGTAAATCACTGAACCCGAGGATGGTGTTGGGAACC